AGATGCATTTTTTTTGTGGAGGTGGAACTCATCCATATGTAGCAGTGTGAACCAAAATTGAACACCGTTGGGAATGTCCTTCGCATTATAACATTGCCAAACTGGGGCACGACCCACGGCCTTATATACTTTCTTCCACCTATTGTGGGATCATCGTTTGAAGGCTCTCAGGGCAGATCTGATTCATTCAAAATCTCAATACTTTCACAAGATGATCCAAGAACCAGGGTTCTCGACTGGGGTTTCATGGCGCATGTGATCGTACCATTCTGACCTCTAATTTGAGTGGATTTCCAATGATGACCTACCCCACATCCCAGGTCTTGAATTAGAATCTGCTGTGGCTTGCTCTAGTTGTTCCAACTTCAGACAAACCTTCAGTCTCCTGCGCCTTGACATTTTCAGGACGGCTCTCCCCAGAGACGCCACGATCTGCAAGCCGTGCTGCCATGTGAGCAGTTTCAAAGACGAGAATGGGTTGATTTGTTGACCATTTTAGAGAGGTTTATGCCAGTTTATGCTGTTGTGCCCTTCATATCTTGGGGAGTATCAGATTCCTATAATTTCATATAATTTCCGTAATCCACAACATTTATGAGCTGGGTTCGCGGAGCATTACTTGGGAGCGTTTCCAATAGGTCTATTGTGGCATTCCTGGTTCCAACTTGCCTCGGCAAGTTGCTCCTAGTTCCTTGATGCAAGTTTCAAAGAGATATAACAGGCTGCGATCCTTGCTGTTATACATGAATATAAATAAAATATCTAATGGCATGGATATTACATAATTAATTATATATATATATACATAAATACAAATACAACTGTGCATATTCTTCCACTCTCTATGCCTAGTCGGAAAAACGACAGGACAAATGTTGCGTCCTGATTTGTGTCCACCCCCTCCCCAAACAAATATTGATTTAGGGGATTTGCAACTATAGATTACACAGGTGCTGGCTGGAAGGAGCCGGTTGCTTCCCGCGTCTTCTGATTTCCCTGGTGCATGTGATGCAAACACTGGCAATGTTATACCATGTTAAGTTAGTTTTCAAAAAGCAGTTCCCCAAACAAGATACGATCATACATTTAAGAAAGGATTTTAATTGGCGATTTTTTTTTGCTGGTGATCTTGTATCGTACTTGTAGTACTTGCAATGAATGGGGTTCAAAGAGAAAGAGAAAGAGAAAAAAAAAGAGAAGGAGAATCCGACAGAGAGAAAGAAAAAGAGAAAGAGACGGTTGTAAAAGGCTTTTCTGTCTGCTCTTGGCTCTAAGATCACCTCAGGAAAAGTTTCCTGCAATTCCGAACCTGGGCAACAAACCTACAAAAGTTAACTGGACCCTCTCATGGTCTGTTGGCATGAAAATTTGTTCGGGTTATGTTTTTTTTTAAGATTCTAAGTAGGTTTAAAACGATATTAGATCCCTTGTTTGAAGTTGGCAACTGCTTTTGTAAAGGGTCGTTTCTTCTCTTGGCCCAGGATCACCTCGGGAATAGTTTTTGCAATTCCCAAACCTGGGCAACAAGTCCACTAAATTGAACTGGACCCTCTCATGGTCTAGTGGCTTGAAAATGTGTTCGTTTTTTTTTAAAGAAGTGTTGAATAGGATTGAATAGGATATTGAATCCTTTGAGAATGGCAGACAAGCATTATGTTTTTTTTCAGAAACAAATGCTTAGAATAATTCAGTCAAAACAAACATCTTAAAAAGGAAATGGTCTGCCAAAAAAACATGGCCACAATTCTGAACCAAAGCAACAACGCCCCAGTACTCTGAATAGTTTGGAGATTTCTAGCCACAAAAGCGAAGCCAGCTACTAATCAGCATCCAACTAATAATAGTGGTTTGGAGCCCTGAAAAACCTCGTGGTAAAGTAACATAGCCATAGAGGATCATCAGTTTCAATAGGTAAATCAACAGAATGAACTCTAAATGGCAATTTTCAATGGCTATGTCAGCTATTACCAGAGAGTAATCCATACAGAACTGGGTGATTCGGTGGTTATGAAACCGGGGTTCCGCCAGGAAGTGGCGCCTTCAGTCGGCCCCAGAGGCCTGGTGCGGATGGAAAAACACGAAAACCACTAGAATGTTTGGTTATGTTTTATTTGCTATATGGCCATATATGTATAATTATGTATACATATATATATATATATACAAAAATACATATATAATTTACAGACATGGGGGAAAATCATGAATTGGTTGAGCTTCTGTTGAACTCTCTCAGATGGCGACGGAGGGAGAGAGAGAGAGAGAGAGAGAGAGAGAAAGAGAGAGAGAGAGAGAGAAAGAGAGAGAGAGAGAGATGATGAATTGGATTTTGGCTACAGACAAGCGCAAGTAACAAGTATTCACACATGTTGAAAGATCAGTTGGTATGGAAACTACTTAACTCCAGCTGCGGTCACCAAAAGAAATGGCTTCTCCTCAAATGGAACAGTGGGATTGCAAGCAGGAGTCGTAGAAAAATTTCGGAGACCTTTTTGCCGATTGGAGTTTTAGTTGTCAAACCGGACCATGGAGTCCCCCTAAATTGAGGCTGACAAGTTCTGAAACAAAAGAGTCTTCGTTTCAATTTTGCGGCCCTAAGGGGGCGGCAACGTCAGCATAGCATTTCTGTAGCTGCCTTAATCGTTGCAACTGACTCAATCGTAACAACCTTAACTCACGACATCCCATGTCCCATGGCCCAATGGCAGGCCGAAGAGTCGGGGAAGATTCTCAGCTGGAAGAGTTTTGGGTTAAAGGCGCAGGGATTCTGATCCTATTAAAGGTGAGCCATGCTGAGCCACTGTAGTTGTGCATGTTAGTTACCAAGGAATGACGATCTGGCATGTTGTACTCTGAATATCTTGGGGCAAAACTCGATTTTGGTGAGCACTGATGCTGCAACCTTCTTCTTGGTTTGTGACATAGCATGAGGGAGACCAATCAACAAATTGGATAGAATACGTATCGTATATATATATATATATGTACACATGTCACATATGTAAACCATATATGCAATTATGATTAGTTATGTGTGTATATATATATATACATGTAGATAGATACGTACTAAACTAAAACATCCTACAAAAATCCTTGCAGTGTTGGCTGAGGCTGCTGAAAAATGCCTGCCTGTCATCGTGACAAGTCAAGATCCCTTGTTTCCAGATGATTTTGCCTAGTGATGCAGTGATGCGCCCTCGACGTTTCCCAAGGACCTTCCGAGCCCAAGAGATTCAAAGTGGGTGTGGACCCTCAGAGGCTTCAGGAGCTCCAAGTCCCATAGAAAAATTGGTAAAACTAAGCATTGGCAAACCATGCAAAACCTAATGAGGGTCATTGTAATTGTTGGATATTACGGTTTTCCCTCCAAATGTCAACACAAGAATCACTCTGTTCAAGGTGCAGGTGCAGATCAATTATCTACAGATGCACACATGGGGCGAGTCTTAGCGCTGGGTTTACCAATATGGACCTCCTTATGGCTTTTGCACAGTTGGATATACAGTCCAATTCACTGCGAACGACAGCTCCCCAACTCACCGCACTATCTACACTTTTGCGATGCTCTGTGTCAAGTTGACCTCCCAACATTTGAGGACTATCCTGGGGTAAACTAACATAGACGTGGAAAATGGCCATGATAGCTATAAAAAGGTTGTGAGTTTCCACATCTATGTATATCTAGGTTAGTTTACAGGAGACAGGAAGGTAACTTGCGCACCCCATTTCATCCGCGCTCTCGCCCCTCCGCCTGGCGCCAGATCCGGGTGTCGGATTTGACTGGTGCAAAGGGCCTCACTATGCACGCTTCCCACAGGCGAAGACTTCATTCGGGGATATTCGGGGTATGTCTGAAAATGGTGCACCCATGTGCACCATCATTTTTCCATGGTTTTGAACATATAAAAATCAGCTTCGGTGGTATCCCCAACAGCCGCAATGTTTTATTTTTACACATCTTTCTGAAGCGTGCTGCCAAGCCAAGCGCTGAAAACACCCCTGCTGGGCTTCCGTGAATTAAATGGCCGCAAATCCTGTTGAACCTGACCTGGCTCTGCACCAAATCCTCCCAGACCTTCTCCGGAACCCTGTTGAACCTATCCTGGCTCTGCACCGAAGCCTCCCAGACCTTCTCCGGAACCTTCCCCAGAACGCTGTTGAACCTGACCTGGCTCTGCACCAAAGCCTCCCGGAACCTTCTCCAGAACCTTCTCTAGAACCTTCTCCAGAACCCTGTTGAACCTGACCTGGCTCTGCACCAAAGCCTCCCGGAACCTTCTCCGGAACCTTCTCCGGAACCCTGTTGAACCTGACCTGGCTTTGCACCAAAGCTTCCCAGACCTTCTCCAGACCTTCTCCAGACCTTCTCCGGAACCTTCTCCGGAACCTTCTCCGGAACCCTGTTGAACCTCACCTGGCTCTGCACCAAAGCCTCCCAGACCTTCACCAGAACCTTCCCTGTTGAACCTGACCTGGCTCTGCACCGCAGCCTCCCAGACTTTCTCCGGAACCTTCTCCAGAACCTTCTCTAGAACCTTCTCCAGAACCTTGTTGAACCTGACCTGGCTCTGCATCAAAGCCTCCCGGAACCTTCTCCGGAACCTTCTCCGGAACCCTGTTGAACCTGACCTGGCTTTGCACCAAAGCCTCCCAGACCTTCTCTGGAAGCTTCTCCGGAACCCTGTTGAACCTCACCTGGCTCTGCACCAAAGCCTCCCAGACCTTCACCAGAACCTTCCCTGTTGAACCTGACCTGGCTCTGCACCGAGTTCTCCCAGACTTTCTCCGGAACCTTCTCCGGAACCCTGTTGGACCTGACTCAGGCTCGGCTTTGCACCAAGGCTTCCTGGAACCTTCCGGAACCTTCTCCGGAACCTTTTTGAACGTGAGCTTACGCTGTTGGGGAAAAATGTGTTTCTATTTTCAGAGACATCCTCAAAGAAAACCTTTGCTTGACTATATTGGTTGCGTCCAGATACAAACCGAAGCACTAGTTGATGGCTGCGGCGGCTGCGGTCCAGGATGAGGGTCCAAAGAAGGAAGCCTGGTCCTTCGTGCAGCTTGGCCAGCATTGGGCGGAGCATCCAGTAGCTTTGTCAATTGAAATTCGTATAAAGACTCACTTTTGGTGCTTAATAATCCCCCATGTTATTTATGTTATTTAATTATTAGTCAAAAACCCACAGACTTGTATGATATGTGTTGTTCATAACCAACAATTGGTTCGCCATTATATCCTCATTGTTTGTGGTTAAACCATTTTTTCACCATTTTTGATAGCCCTTTGGCAATCAAACATAGCTGGCTGGGAAATCCCCGAACTAAATGAGCCAGGAAAATCATCCATAAATTACGGATTTTCCGGCAAGCCATGTTTGATGACACCGGAGGGTAGACAATGTCCCAATGATACTTTGAAGATCATCCCACTCAGCAACTCATCAGTGACCCTGGTTAAAAGATCGCCAGTGGACTGTTCCCATAAAATTTTATAAATGGATTTTAAGTATGGTCATTAACCACTTGCTCCAGATTATTTAGCGGGATATGTCATTATACCTCCATGTTCCATATTCTCCATGATCTCCATATAGTTCAATATATTTCCATAGATATCCCAAGTTTTGGTTTTCACCATTTTTCGATGGTTAACCCATTTTCAGTCATGGCCCCTCGCCAGGTGCCGCATGCGCGGCTTCACCAAGCCTTTTGCCCCGGAGGTGCCGCCGGCCTCCGTGACCCAGATCTTCCAGCGCCACTGGCAGCGCCTGCGGCGGAAGAGTTGGGTTGGGAGGATGGATGTTTGGAACGTTAATAATTGATAATGGCTAATGGTTAACCATGACAGCCATTACTGGCCATGTAACATTGAAAGTTGATGAAAGTTGTATGACGGTATATGCTGACAGTATATTAATGTATATTATGATAGTACATATATGATATGGGAGTTTTGGAACATTGCAGAAATCCCGATTTGCACCTTTTTGCCGGCACTTGGCATGGCAAGCTCGCCTGCCTATAGGCCCCAACAATTTTCCTAGAATTTTGACAGTCAGGTATTATGCAGCAAACTTAGCATCCAAACTACACGCAGCCTGCTCCCGTAATCAGGGATTCCACTCTCGGCCCCTGCTGGACATGATGAGCATCCGTGCACAAGTTAAGTATACAATTTAATGTTCATTTACACAGCACACACACATATTTCTTATAAATTATATAATATTATATTTACATACACACACGCATACACCACATAGTTCTATAATATATAATATTATATATATATATACATATATAATTATATATACATACACATCATAAATAATATTATGTATATATATATATATATGTGTAAATATATATATATATATTTACATATATATATATATACGTTGGCATCATGCACTTTTGCAAATTTTGATGTCGCTGCGTGTAGGCTTGTGTCTTTGCTGTACTTCCTGTATATGTCCTGGGCGGCGGTCACCTGGTTAAACCAAGGCAGATTCGGCAAAGCAAACGGCCTGAAACTGATCAAGCTCCAAAGTGTCGATTGGAGAAAGGAGTTGTGGGCAGCTTGGCAAGGTACAATGTTACTATACCGGGTTCTTCAAACAAAAAACAGCCAATCAACTTGAATTCTAGCCAGGACAGCTAGACACCCCTCCTTGTCCCCCAATTTCAATGTTTTGTGCAAGCAGTGCTTGGCGGAGCCTTCAAAAGAACAGCCATTCTTGCTTCGGCCAGTGAGAAGCGATGGTTAGCAGCAACCTTTATACAGGGAGTCCCGGGGGGGTTCAGTGCATGTTGAAACTTTTTGGCCGATGGCTGTTTTTTGTTTTTCCCCACCTGCCAGGTGAGGGTTGTTAGATTTTATCAGAGCTCTTGCCCGCCTCCTCCTCCTCCTCCTCGACTAGCTGTCCTCTTCCTCGTCGTCCTCCTCCTCGCCTCCTCCTCCAGTTTCTCCTCGACCATGTCTGCATCAACTTCCACCTCCACTTCCGCCTTGCCAACTCGTCGCCAAGCTCTTTGCCAACTTCCCAACTCAGTGCGCACCGCTGGACCTCAACCTGGGACCTGCCCAGCTCAGTGTGCACCGCTGGACCTCAACGGCCAGATAGAATGCCAGAAGATATGCCAGATAGAATGTCAGATAGGATGCCAGAAGCCATGAGATATGCCAGATAGAATGCCAGAAGATATGCCAGATAGAATGCCAGAAGATATACCAGATAGAATGCCAGATAGAATGCCAGAAGGTATGCCAGATAGAATGTTAGATAAAATGTCAGATAGAATGCCACAAGATATGCCAGATAGAATCCCAGAAGATTTGCCAGATAATATGCCAGAACATATTGCAGAAGATATGCCAGGTAGAATGCCAGAAGATATGCCAGAACATATGCCAGAAGATATGCCAGATAGAATGCCAGAAGATATGCCAGAACATATGCCAGAAGATATGCCAGATAGAATGCCAGAAGATATGTCAGAATATATGATATGCCAGATAGAATGCCAGATAGAATGCCAGAAGATATGTCAGATAGAATGCCAGAAGATATGTCAGATAGATTGCCAGAAGATATGCCAGAACATATTGCAGAAGATATGCCAGGTAGAATGCCAGAAGATATGCCAGATAGAATGCCAGAAGACATGCCAGATAAAATGCCAGAAGATATGTCAGATAGAATGCCAGAAGATTTGCCAGTAACAAAACGTATAGATGTCATGGTGGGGA